GGCGGGCGGCTGCGAGGCGCAGCAGCGCATGTGGCTGCGGCACGTCGCCGCTTACGAATGGCTATGGGAGGCGGAGCTGCCGCTTCCGGCGCCTAGTGACACCTCGAGCGGCGCCCCCGCAGACGCCGCGGCGGCTGAGGCGCTGGCGCGGGACGCTGCCGCGCTGCTCGCTGCGGCAGGCGCAGCTGGCGGCGGGGGGGAGCCGTCCCGGGCGGTGGCGGCGCCGGGGGTGTGCTACCAGGCGCAGTGCCGGCTGGTGGAGGCGGACGCAGGCAACGCGCGCGTCCCCGGGTGGCGCGAGCTGCTGGGGTCCTGGAAGGTGAGGGCTGACCCCCATATGCGCGCGCGCACGGCGCGGGACGCCAGGCCGCCCGGGTTCGAGCGGGCAGGAGGCGCCCCTGCCGCACTCGCCCTCCCTTGCTGCGCCCCTGCCAGCACGCACCGCAGCCCGCCTGTCTCCATCCACTAACCCCAAGTCACGTTTAGTGTTTTGCATCTCTATCCCCGCGAATCATTCCCGCGCCTCCGACTGCACCCCACGCCCTCAAAAAACCCTTCATAGGAAGCTGTTGTGAAGCTGGAGGCCCTCGAGTTGCAGCTCTCGGACTGGCAGTCCGGCAACGCCGCCCTCCTCTCTAATCTTGAGTCCGCACTCCTGCCCCTCCTGCGCTTCGCACCCGCGCCCGCGGCCGCCGCCGCCGCGCGCCCAGCCGCGCTGCTGGCCGCGCGCGCCGCGTGGCTCGACGGCGCGCGGGGCGTCGCGGCGGGCGTGACACACGTTGTGGAGGCGGCGGTGCAGCTGGAGTGCAGCAGGCGGGGGCGGCTGTGGGACCCTGGTGGGTGAAACCTGTCGGGCACTTTTTGGACCGGGCGCCGTCGCGGTGGCCACGTCACGGACTAGGGAAGGCGGGCTCTTGTGACACGCTGCAGTGCCACGCCTTTCCTCATTTGCATCTCCCATCACCGCTCCTCGGGGAGCATTGGGGTTGGCTGCCCGGCCCCTCGACCCAGCACCGCCGCCCGCCGCCGTCCACTCGGCCCCAGCTGCCCACTCACCCGCTCCTGCCTCAACGCACATCGCGCCCCATCCCCCGTCGTCGGTCCCGCCAGGCTCTGATGCTGAACTCGATGCTTTCCAGGGCAACGACGCGCTGCTAGACCAGCTGGTTGCCGCAGCCGGCGCCCTCGTCGCCGCAGAGGGCCGACGCCTCGACGCAGACTCCCGCGGCGCCGCCGCCCGCGCCGCCGCCGCCGCCGCCGCGGACGCGGGCGCCGCGGCCG